GGGGGGGGGGGAATGTCAGGATCGGTGATCGGAGACACGGGCGATGAGAGCATGTCCGATCGGAGCCAAAGAGAGAGAGAAAGGGAGGAAGGGCAAGCAGGCCGCGTGCGGCGAAGGGGATGGCGGAGGGCAGGGGACAAAGAGGATGCCGGGCCACGCACATGTTCGAGAGGCCGGGCTGGTTCAGCATGTTGGCGATGGCCGGGTTGTTCATGAGCCCCGGGAGCATGGAGGCAATGTCGGGCATGCCGCCGGCACCAGCCGAGGGGGAGGACTCGGCCGAGGTGGAGGCACCGCTGCCGGCCGCCGAGTCGGAGCCCTCAGCCAGGGTGATGTCATTCTCGAAGGCGGGGTAGATCTTGGCCGACATGTCGGCCGGGCCGACAAGGGCGCGCTGGCCGGACGCGTTGTTCAGGTACAGATCGCGCAGGTTGTCGGTCTCGGCCACGCTGGCGGCCTTGGTGTAGCACCGAGCCGAGTACTCGTGGCAGGACTGCCGAGCGAGGGCGGCACTGGGAGAGGGGCGCCGTGGCAGGTCAGCATCCCGCTGCCAGGGCCGGGCCCACAGACGGGGGCGGAAAGCGGGGCAAGCAGGAAGGGACAGCGAGGGGGGGAGGAGGGGGATGGGGGAGGCAGTGCGTACCCCTTGAAGGAGTAGGCCTTGGCATAGTTGCTGTCCAGGGAAATGGCGTGGTTGCAGTCGAGCACGGCGGCCGAAAACATGCCGATGCTGGTCAGGGCCATGGCGCTGTGGGCCATCGGGGGAGTCGGGGACGATGGCCACCATCGGGTGTGTTAGCATTGATCATGGCGGCAGCGGAGAAGCCGAGCACAGGGGGCGGGGGAGGGCGGCTCGGGCACACACCGGTTGGAGTAGTAAACGGCGGTCGGGTTGAGGATGATGGCGTTGGTGTAGCAGTCAACGGCGCCCTTGTAATCGGAGGCCTTGAGCTTGGCGTTGCCTGTGGTGGGGGACATTCCAAAACCGGTGGGGTCCCGGCGGTCAGACAGCTGGCAGGGAGGAGGGGGGGGGGGGGCACAAACAGCGGGCCTGCAAGGACGAACCGTCATTCTTCAGCTTCTCGGCCGCGGCAACATCCGCATCGGAGGGAGTGGAGCCGGAGTAGCCGGAAACCGGCTTGGCCGACAGGAGGGCCGGCAGGTCCCCCGGGAAGGCGAGGGTCTCATCGGCCTCCTCGAAGCCGAAGGCGGCGCCCATGCACTGCAGGCTGACTGCGAGACATACCCGAGGCGGAGGGTCAGTGGCGGCATGAGGGCCAGCGAGGCGCGGGGGCGAGGGAGCAGATGGTGTCCAGACGAACCCTCGAGGCTGGCGATGGCATCCTCGGACAGATCCTCGGTCGGGCCGGCCTTGATCAGATCGGCCACATACTTGAGGACGGTGTGGCGGGTGCGAAGGGAAGCGTCGGTCATGGCTGTGTGCGTGTGTGTATGTGTGGGGGGGGGGGACGAGTGCGACGGGGCGTTCGGGAGGGGGGGGGTGGGGCTGGTGAGGGCTGGCGGAGACTTCCCCCCCCGGTGGAAGTTGGCCGACGAAGGTGTTTTTTTTCTCCCCCCCCCCCCCCCGGGCCGGGGCGCCTCGCGCCCCTGGACGGGTCTCCTGCGAGTTCCCTTCGCCGCTGTCCGTGCGCGGTGTCTCCGGGCGGGGCGGGCGGGCGGCAGGGGGACGGCTTTCTCCATCTGCCGAGTCCCCCCCTGCGGGGCTGGGCCAGCACCGAGGCCGGCACGGCTCTGGATCATTCCTCCGAGCACACATGAAGGCTGGATTTCGGGGCGCGCACGATACAGCGCGCCGGGGAAAGCGGCCCGCATGTCGTGGATCATCGTGCGGCGGGCCGTATGCCGCGGGCATGTGCGCCGCCCTGCCCCGCCCCCCCCCCCCCACGTACACAGCAGCGAGGCGCGGCCCCCGGGCCCCGACCAGCCCCTGCCACACACCCCGCCTGGCCGCGGCTTTCCTCCCCCGGGTGCTGTGTGTGCTTTTCCCCGGGGGCAGGGGAAGGGGACACACGCATGCGCTCGTTGCCGTGGTTCGTGCCTCTTGCCCTTGCTGCTTTTGGGGGCAGAAGGGGAGGGGGGGGGGAGACGCGCGTGCCTGCCCGACCGACGCCCGCCGGTCACAACAGATGTCCGACATATGTTGCGGGGACCCCCCCCCCCCCCGCACAGGGCATGGGTGCCGCGGGGTCGCCACGGCAAAAAAGAAGGACTGGAGGCGGAGGGTATCGATCCCCCTGCCTGCCGCATGCTAAGCGGCCGCTCTACCATTTGAGCTACGCCCCCGAATCTGTGGGTCAGGGGACCCTCAGGATCTATTTAATCGGAACAATGGAATCTTCCAGTCTCAATCCAGGTCCCGGGACGCCGCACTTGCCCCAAGGGCCCCAGAGGCGGGCCGCCTTCCGGGAGGAAGCAGCAGCAGCCTGGCGCCTGTGGTGCAAAGGTGCATGCTGGATCACAAACAGCCGGGAAGGAAACCCAGGCAACCGCCCGGACGGGCAAAAGGCCTGCGCATGTGCGGCACACATTTCATAGATATCAGCACCAGAGTCATGGCCAGGCATGCGCTGGCGACCAGGAGCACGGCGAGCGCCGCGCCTCACCCCGCCGCACCCCATCCCGCCTCTCAGTCGTGAGCGGGGGGGGGGGCACCCATGGTCAACTGCTGCCATTTCCCCGGGTTTCGGCCACTCCTCGCGGCCTCCCTCGCCCCTGCTGTGGGGCAAGTGGCATGACCGTGCTTGACCGGGGTCTCCTGCCCTTGGTTCGTTCAGGGAGGATAGACCTGCCTCCCTCCTGCCGGTGCGCCCCTTTTCAGCCGGGCATCCGCCGGTATCCATATGAGGCACACGCTGGGCGTGGGCGCGCTCTGCGCGTCCTTCCGCAGCTGCATGGGGCTCTGCGTGTGTGCGCTATGTCGGGGGGTGCCCTGTGCCTGCTTCTTGCCGGGTCTCCCCCTTCGCGCGACGGGGGACCTGCCTGGCGGCCCAATCAAAAACACCCAGCCGGTGGGCAAAAGCAATTTCAGCGCCAGAATGCGGGGTGATCCCCACAAGTCCCATATAGTCTAGGTGGTTAGGATACGTGGCTCTCACCCACGAGACCCGGGTTCGAGTCCCGGTATGGGAAATTATTTTTAGTTCCTTGCGATTCAGCTGAGACCAGGGGAGGAAAAAATATATGACCACGATGCGGCTCGAACACACAACCTCCTGATCCGTAGTCAGGTGCTCTATCCAATTGAGCTACGCGGCCATGGGAAGCGGACAGTCCCTCTGGTATTTAAAGCCAGCGCCTTTGGCCAAGTTTCGGGGCGAAAAAAGACTCCCGATCCGGGAATTGAACCCGGGCCTCCCGCGTGACAGGCGGGGATTCTCACCACTATACTAATCGGGATGGTCGTGCCAAATGGGCCTGCGCAGCCCATTAAAAAGAGGCGCATGCTGTGTTGCCGGCCTGCGGGGGTGCCTCGCCGGCTGCCCGGAATGCCGTCGGAGGGCGGCAGCAGCCGGGGGCCCTGAACGGGGCCCGAGCTGTGTTCCTGTGACGGACATTGCCAGCCGGATCGCGATGGACGCCCTGCCTGGCTTCACTTGCCCGCAGCTCGGCCGGAGGGTGCCGGGCATCTCGATGCTGCCCGAGGGGGGGGGGGGGGGGTGGCTGCCCTGGGCGCATCGCAGGCCGACCCCGACAGTGGGGTAGCATCCCGAGGAAGATGGGGCTCCGCGGGCAGAGGAGCAGCAAGGACGCGTGTCATCCGCGCGCGGTCGCATCTAGGCAGCCACTGTTGGCGCCCTGGCCGCCGCGAGGCGCTTGGATTCCGGCGTGTGGCCCTCGGGAGCCATCTCTCGAACAAAGGGCATCAAGAAAGAAGCGAGGAAAAAAGGGCCAGTGGCCGATGTGCATGTCTGTGCCAAGTGCATCGGGGACCGGGCGACACGGGTCCCCCGGGGCAGGGCGATGTGCAGAGCCAGGGCAGGCACACAGCTACCCCATGGAGGGAATGCCCCCCCCCCCCCCCCCCCCCAAGGTGCTGGGGCCTTGGAAGGAAGGCGGCAGGGGCCCCCGGGGGTGCCCAGCGAGGAGGAGAGACACGAAAATGCCGGCAGGCGGGAGGCGCTTGGATGGGCATGGATGTGTCTGCGCTTTCTCCATCATTCCGGAGAAGGCAGGCTCTCCCTCTCCCCTCTCTCTCTCTCTCTCTTTCTCTCTCGGAAAACAGTCACACGAAGAGGTGCGGGACCGTGCACGGCCAAGACACGACGACCACCGAGACCGAAGTGGCGGGAGCCAACCGGTGCCGGCCTCCGACGGTGTATCAGAGGTGTGGCCCCACTTCGGGACACAAGCCAACATCGGATCGAAGGGCGACAGGCCTGCCTGAGAGGTGCTGGAGAAGCGCCCAGGGCAAAGCCCCAGGCGTGTGGGTCCGGAGTAGGGCAATACAGCTCCAGCGAGAAAATCCCCCGGGGGCCCTTCCGATGCCAGGAGCCGGAGCCAGCCACCAAGGGCCGGGGAGTTAATTGTCGGCCTGGGGGACACAGTCCCCAAGCCTCGATAGCTCAGTTGGGAGAGCGTGTGACTGAAGATCACAAGGTCACCAGTTCAATCCTGGTTCGAGGCAATCCTCTCTCTTTTTTTGATCGCATCGTGCTCCGCTTCGCCCTCTCTTGCCCCCGCCCGCGACCGCCACGGCGAGAAGCCGACCACCAGGCAGAGGGAACACAAGCAGCAGCAGCAGCAGCAGCCTGCTTTCGGGGGCCTGTCCGAGAGCCGGGCAGCCCTCCTTTTGCCGGGTGTGTCGGTCCGGGCGGCCCCCTTCTCGCCCTGTGTTTGTCCTGGCTCGTGGTGTGAGAACCGCCCAACACACACTCCCCTCAGCAAGACACCCCTGTTCGGTCGGCCACCCGGGCCTCCCCGTGCGGCGCCCCTCCCCACAAGCGCCGCGACAAAACGCGAGACCATTTGATCACGTCCCCTGCCCCCTCGTGCAAGCCTGTTTAGCTCAGTTGGTAGAGCATGGGACTCTTAATCCCAGGGTCGTGGGTTCGAGCCCCACAGTGGGCTTGCATTCTTCCTTTTTGCCTCCCCCTCAGCCGCTCGGTCTCTCCCTCCTCCCTTGGTCCCCATGTCGGCCCTCCTCCTCTCCTGTTCCTGCTCCTGCTGCTCGCTCCCGCCCTTCTGTGCCCCGCTCTCCCACGCGCACACCCCCTGTTCAGCATGAATGATCCCGGAAGAGATACACACATCTTGCCTGAAGAGAAAACACCATGGCCACGAGACACGCCATCCCCACTCCGTAAACCATCCATCCTGGGGGAGTTCCAAGGACAATTGCAGCTCAACCTGAAGGCGCCCTGTCACCGGCCATTTGTTCCGCCCACCCTTCTCGGTGCTCCAAACAGCGTGACGTGAACTCCCCCCGCGCCCCTCGGATGGGGATGTTCCCCTCCCGCAGACTTGGCATGCCCACACTGCTCTGGCCCCTAGGGAGGAGGAGGCAGGCAAAGAAGATGCCACGGCCAGCCAGCAAGCCGCCGAGAGCGAAAGAGCAAGAGAGAGAGAGAGAGACACGGAGAGGGGCACAATGAAACACAGGTCACCAAGCGGCGGCGAAAAAAAGGGCCCTCCGACACACACACAGATGCGGGTCTATTGAAATGGCACGACACAGGCAGCCTTCCTTTCAAAGGTGCCCCTTCGGTGGACGAACCCCCCTCCCGGGCCGCGGAGGCTATATAAGATGGCAAAGTAACACGCGGCATCCGGGAAGAGATGCGCCCCCCTCCAAAGAGGCCAGCCCAAAGTAGCCAGGGTGCACAAGGTAACCACTACACAACACTGGTGCCAGCGTGCGGCACCAGCCGCTCAGGGTGTCCGGCCAGGCAGGAGCCACGCCGGCCATGCCGGACACATGGCGGCCTGGGCTTCGGCCGCGGGCGCACGAGCTGGCCCTTCCCCTTCACGGATCAAGCGGAGGCAGCGGCAGCCTCCTCCGGCTCCGGGGCGGGCGCCTCCTTGGCCTCCGCGATCGAAGGGGAAACACGCCGCTGGAGCCAGGCGAAGTCCTGGTCGTCGTCGGCCTCGGCCGCGCCGTCCACATCGATGGCCATGAGGCCCACCGCGTGCGGCACGCAAGTGACCCCGTCGCGGGCGAAGCCGAAGCCCTCCTTGCACTTCTTGCACCGGACCCAGTGCGTGCTGAGGTCCGGGTTCAGGGCATTCGGCACATCGCACTCAAGGCAATTGGCCGGGCACTTCCGGCACAGGCGGGCCTTGCGCGTCTGCATGTAGAAGCCATACCCCTCGAAGGAGCCGCAGGTGTAGGTGCACCGCCCCGGGTCCTTGCCGCCCGGTGTCTCGACCAGCCGGACATACGGCATCTTGTTGTCGTTGTTGGCAATGCACGACAGACACCCATCCGGCAGGCCGTTGACACAGGTGGCGCACATCCCCCCGCAGGGCTGACACACGCCATCCTGCTTGTAGTAGCCCTCGGGACAGGTGCGGAAGCACTGGCCCCGCTGGGGCATCATATTGAAGCCGGCCTGGCAGTCAATGCACCGGCCCTCCTCATTGCAGGTCTGGCAATTGGGCGACAGGCAGGGCACACACCGGCGGTGGGTCAGGTCGTGGAAGTAGCCCGCCGGGCAGGCGGTCACACACCGGTGGCTCTCAGTGAAGGAGCTCGGCTGGAGATGAATGAAGCCCGGATTGCAGGAGGTGCAATTGTCCGAGAGCGTGGCGCATTCCTTGCACTCCGGGGCACACTTGTCACAGGCCCCCTTGGCCTTGGAGAAGTAGGACCCCTTGCGGCAGGCGGGCTTGCAGACCCCCTGCCGCGGCTCGAAGCCGGCCCGGCAGGCGGTGCACACGCCGCCCTCAATGCACCGGGTGCATTGGGCGTCGCAAATCCGACACACCATGTCCTCGGTCGGGAAGGTGCCCACCGGGCAGTCATCCACGCACCGGCCGGCGTACAGCTGCTTCAGCGGATCGCTGCAGGCCAGGCAGATGGACGGATTGTTGGTGACACAATGGAGGCACCCCTCGGCGCAGGGCTCGCACTTGCTGGTCAGGTAGTTGCGCGCGAAGCCCAACGGGCAGGTGGTGTAGCAGGTGCCATTCGGCTGGAGCAGGTGCCCCCGCATGCACTCCAAGCATTGCCGGTTGTTCTCGGGCGAGCACTTGGCGCACCACCGCGGGCAGGCCACACAGTGGCCCATGATCTCCACGGTGGTGGTCGGGCAGCGCGGCACACAGGCCCCGATGTCCACATACCGGTGGAGGAAGATCTTCCGGTTGTGCACGAGCAGCTTCTCCGTCGGGACACTGCAAGACAGGCAGTCGGACGCCCGCGGGCCGACGCAATCGGCGCAGCCCTCATTGCACTTGAAGCAGGCCCCGGGCTCGCTGCACTTGAGCAGGTGCCGGTTCTCCGGCCGGCCGGGCACCGCGTCCGAGCTGCCATTGTAATTGGCCAGCGGCCACTTGAAGCAATTGAACCCGAGCGGCATGTGGCGCGTCTCGATGCAGTGGTCTCCGCAAATGGTGCCATGGGGCCCGATGCAGTTGGTGATGCACCGCCGCATGCCATCCTGCATGTAGCCCGGCTCGCACTCGGCACAGGACTCGGAAATGTGCCGGTTCAAATACCGGCAGCCATAATGGTCGCCCTCCACGAAGCGGCACTGCCCCCCGAGGGACATCTGCACGCGGCAGGCCTCGCACCGGCCCCAATCCCCGGGGTAGGTGCTCCAGCACATGTCGATGCCGGCGCTGACGAGATTCTCCTTGCTCACCTGCATGTCCGGAAGCTCGGCATCCAGGAAGGCCCCATAGGTCAGGGTGCGGTATGCGGCGCTGTACTCCTCGCAAATGATGTCGGTGCCGGTGTGCACGGCCTTGAGGCAGCGGTCCAGTGCCGGGAAGCAGGCCCCCTTCCACATGGACTCGCCTTTGTGATTATTATTATTTTTTTTTCATTGATTCCACGGCGGCCATTGTTTCCAACGCCCGGAGAGTCAGGACAATTCGCCTCGGGAAAGGGGGAAAGAAAGAGCACCCCCCCCCCCGCCCCCCCACCAACGGCCCGGGCACATGGGCGAAAGGCGAAAGGGCGATGAGGGGGCCCCTCCCGGCGGGAAGCGGGCGCCCGGCCGACACGCACCAGGCTGATCGCACTTGTCGCTCACCTTGCCCAGGGGGTAGGGCTCGAGATCCAGCGGCTCGGTGGTGGGCTCCAGCGTGGCGCCGGCCAGCGCGCAAAGGCCAGCCAGCAGCAGGGCCACCAGCGGCAAAGACCCGGGGCCCGGGCGTGCCGGGCGCCGGCGGGGCAATGTTGGCACCATGCTTGCGGAGAACGGGATGGGAAGAGCAAGTACGCGGAGGAAAGGCAACAGGAGGAGAAGGGGAACAGAGGGCGGTCTTCTCTGCTGTCACCAACGAAATGTTGACCATTGTCAGTGGCATCTTAAATAGGTGCAGCTGCTTGGGGGATTTCCCGGCATCTTGAGCGGAAAAGCCCACAGGGCAAGGCACCTGAAGTGGAGGCGCCCCGGGTGGCGAGTGGATGGTTCTCTGTGGGTGCACACATGCGCGGCGCATGCGGCTGGCCTTGCTGCGGCACCCGCCCCGCTTCCCGCGTGAGCCTCCCGCCCGTCAAGAGCCACAGCCATGCGAGCGTCCTCCCGGGGGAGGGACGCCGAGGGCCGAGGGGCGCGGACCGACACACATGCGACCATTTTGTCGATCCCGGCATGCAGACATCTCATTCGGCGCGTCCCCGGCCCCTGGCCCGACGCTAATGAGACACCGGCTGCGCGTGTGCGCCTCGCTGGAAAGCCCGGCCGAACGACATAAGAGTTGGTACATCTCTCCCCCCCATGCCCCGGGGATGGACGCATTCCTCCTGCCCGGGACACACATACACACACACGCACATACACACACACACACATACACACACACACATACACACACACACACACACCGGGGGCACCGGCATGCACGCAGGCGTGCCGTCAATCCGTGGCCGCCGGGGGTATGTAAGAGGGCGTGGACCCGACAGCCCCAGGAGGCGAAGGAAGCAAAGGGGGTATAGCGGCCGGCAGGAACGGGCCATCTGTCCCTCCCCTCGCGCCTTGGCGATGGAGGAACCGCCATGCGCCATCGGTCCTCTTTCGAGGGCCATAGCGCCATGGCTGCAAGGATCGGGCCCGGGGGGGGGGGGGGGGGGCGGTCGGAAACAAGACATCCTTCTGGCGGGACGGTGGAAAAATACGCGCACTAGGCTGCGCGGTCGAGGGCGCGAACTTGTCGCCAGGGAGGCCGACCCGCATGCGAGGAGTCTTAGGGGGAAGGGAATATGGCTTCAAACACATGAAAATTCCCCGAACAAGTGGAGTGCACCACAAGCGGCGTCCAGAACCGGCAGAACTCCCGTGCCAGCCTCACCCGTGCAGCCGCTTTGGGTGGCCACTTTGCAGTTACTCAGGAGCCCTTTTTCGAGGGAAGTGGAAGCCAACTCCCGCAACAGAGGCACCGGCAGAGCAGGAAGTGCGAGGGAGCAGTGGGTGTGCCTTCGAGAGGGAGACACGGAGAGGGAGGCTCAGTGGCATACAGGCAGAGACACAGAGAGCGAGAGACAGGGAGCGAGAGAAACACCCACGCCTGTCATCGGGTGATGCCAGGCCATGTATCGAGGACAAGGGCGAAATAAGTGCCCCGCCGTGTAGATTCGCCCTGTTCACCCCACGATCGGCCCGGCCCCAGGCCACAAGCGCCTGACCCTCAATCGGCAAGCCAGGCCGACCCGCCCCGCCCCCCCCCCTGTGCGCGCGCACCACGCCCACCCGCTCCAAATTGACATGGCCCAGCCCGCCTCCCAGCGCAGAGCCCCCGCCCCCTTGCCACGAAGTGCGCCGGCGCGGGGCGCCGCACCTCGGGGTGCTCGGGCACGGCACGGCTCCTCGCTCGGGGGCGGGCCGCAGGGCGGGCAAACGGCCCCGCGGCCCACCGGTCGGCATTGCCCCGCCAGTGAAGGGGATTTGGCCGCATCGCGCCGAGCAAGTGCCGACGATTTGGTGCCCATATGCATGTGGCCTGATGAGCTATCATGTACTCACGGATCATGTGCCAGTGCACCGGCCGTAGTGGAATCCGCGTGTAAGCTATAAGTGTAGTGGTGTCCCAATCTCTATAAACCAAGTCACAGGTCGAACCACAAGCCACTCACGTGGACGTCTCCGTGAGAGAGTTGGCATGCTTGAATGGCATTCCTCCCCTGGAGGAATACGGGATAGATCGACAGCCAGACTGCCGCCGAGTAGAGGGCCAGTTACAGTGGCCCCGGGAAAGGAGGGAAATAATGTAATTAATAAGGATTTTCCAGAGGAAACAAGGTGCTCGGAGCCGAAACCCAATGATACTTCCGAATGCTCTTCAACACACGGCTGTTGGTGCCTTCGTTCCCGGTAGAGAGAGAGAGAGAGGCAGGGAGCCTGTCGCTTGGTCTCGGGGCCCGCTATGGACGGGGGGCTGATCTGAGTGAGCTCCGGGCATGCGCGTATTGCCCCCCCCCCCCTCTCTCCCGGGCTCCAGAGCAAAGGTCCGGGGCCGGTGACAACGCTCGACGGCCGCCTTACTTTGCATTCCTCGAGGGGGGATGCGACAGAAGAATGCGCGGTCATCTCACGGGATCGACTACTCGTGGCTCAAGACCAGCTCGTG